GGCGCAGCCATTGTTTCCTTCCCCTCTGATGGATGTCTCATCTGTAATCCATCTTTTCTCTGTCTCAGTCTCAATATTCTGGCTGCCTGTACAGTGCTCATGGCAGACTTCTCCCTTTTGCTCTCTGGGTAGACACTGATACTCGTCTGTGAGAGGGAGAGTGTGTCATGGTGGGGATCTAATAGTATCTTCATAAGATTGCATCTCCAGGTCAAATATGATCTTTTATCCCATGCAGACGATGTGGCTGAAGCTAACATCTTAGGAGGCATCACTGTTTCAGTGAGAACTTACTTTGCAAAGTATTTCCCAGCCTACACACCTTAATGAGGAAGTGGAAATCACATTTACATTTCAACTTGACCAGCAGCAAATTTTATTCAGTTGTTTAATCTTGAGAGAGTACAATGAGTACATATGTAAGTATGGTTGAGTAACATTTACTAGGTTCTATTGAAAGCTCTCCCCACTTCTGGGTGTGTGTTTTTGTTTTTTGGTGGGGTGGGGGGATAGGGCTTTGATTTCTTTTCTCACATAGGTGTGGCTGAAAGAAAATCTTTCTTCCAAGAATCTTTTGTTTGTCTTTGGTTAAACAAATGGTGAGGTTTACTCCATCTTTGTCTCTGTTTAGATTGATCTGTTGAACCTTTTGGAAATAAAGCAAGGGGGGAGAATACCTTGCAAAGCACTTATTGGTCATGCATTGTCTAGTTTGTCTTGGCATTTTGAGTTTTTCATTGTTTGTTTCTGTAAGTAGGGGTTATGTTAGTAGAAGTCGAAGATAAAAATGATGAGGATGAATTCAATAATAACAATTATTGTTATTATGCAAACAGTGCATTACTTTTTAGTGACTGGGTTGCTTTAAAATGTCATCAGAATGCCACAACATAGTTTGCAGCACTTTTATACAGTCAGTTCATCATGTGCTTTACCGGAAACAAGAGGTTTGTAACAAAGGTTTATATGATACGTTTATGTATACCTTGACAAAAACCTTTACCACATCCTGACACATAAGGAAAATGTGGTCTCATATCCAGGCTGAAGGCAACAATACCTGTTTAAAGAGACAGTGCAGCACTGAGCCAGACTTACAGTCTGCACCTTCAAGAGCTCAAACTAATAGGAGAATTCATATGAATATGAATATGGAGGAACTGTCTTGTAGTGAGTCTGTCCCTTCGTCCAGTTGTGAGAACATTTCTGGCAGGCTGTGGTTTGCAAAGTCATAGCAGAAGCCCTTCCTGGTTCTGAGCTATGGTGATCACTATGAATTTGACAATGGGGAATTCAGGTTTGAGTCCTCCTTCCGCTGTGAAGCATGATGGGCATCTTAGACAAGACACCCTTTCTCTCTGACAGCCCAATTTAATAGGGTTCTTTGAAGCTCCAATTCAAATTGGACTCCTTGGACAAGCAGAATCCAAATGTAGGACAGCTCCTCTGATTATGAGAATCAAGACAATTAAACTTGACTGATGGTATGGTCTTTAGTTATGAGTTCTTGGGACATTTTGTGGAGTACAGGAAGGTACTTTGTGACTATACATCTTCAGTCTTACAGGTAGTGCGTGTGTGTAAAGAATGTTATAGTCATCAGATTTTGCTCCTCCAGAACAATTTTCTCTTTTCTATGCCTGCCTTTCAGGTGCCCTTCGACAAAGAAAGGAATTGCAAGCAAGGAATTGTTTTAGTTTCTGCAACTTACTCTGTAGGAGGATGAAAGGCACAGTACCTAGAAAAGCGATTCCTTCCAGGAGAACAGATCTAAAAATGGCATTCTTGCAAGCTGCAGCATGGCACACAATGTTCAATGCTGCGTGCGACTCTTTCAAGCACAACTTAAGAGCTTTGACCAAGAGCTAGCTTACGTTTCTCCATGTTGAATCACACAGATGAATATAGATAAAATCTTGCAGCCTCCTTCTGTTAACAGGGGCAAAGAACACTAAGTGTTTTGAGTGGTGTTCTCTCTAGTAATGCACTCCTTTTAGAAGTCTGAAATACCTAGACTGTATTTCAGAAAATGTGAATGTTTCAAGCTCTTTTATAGGTTGAAAGTTTGAAAACATAATGGCAAAAGTGGTAAAGAATACGAAGAGTTGAGTTGTTTAAAACCCAAATCAGGTGCTTTGCCCCAACTTTTGATGATTTCTGCCCTTATGATTGTGGACTGATAGGGTATCTTCAGGGCTACAGAGAGACTACTCATGTTTAAGGTACGGTTTCCATCCAGGAATTTTGTAGAAGAAAACTGGCTTACCACATGCAGCTTGTCATTGAGCTACTACTATGATCATGGATGGCAACCTCACATTTAGCAAGATTAATTTTATTGTTCCTAACAAAGTTATGAATGGTCATGTCATGCTAAACACATATAAATATGGAAGAATCATATTCTTAAAGAACCACTTGTGTCATGTCAGCCTAACAGCATGGTGGCTTAATTCTTACCACAATGCTGTATCTGAGCTAAAGAGCTTCAAACTTTATATTGGCGCTTACATTTTCTATCCTTGCAGACTGAAGTGGTACGGGCCAGATATAAGTTTGCTATCTCCATGCAAACAAGGCACACCTCCCTAGACCTTTGTAGATATTTTCCTAAGTGGCATTTGTCATCATGATGTTCCTACAGCCAGGAGTATAGACCTACCTGCATGGTAGAGGCTAAAATCGGAGTATGGTAGGAGAAAAGGATGGGGGAATAGACTTTTGAATATAGCCGATAGAAAACAAATATGTCTCCAGTTTTTCAGTGGCTGACAATAAGTGATCTTTGAGTGAGCTCCCAGGATATGCTTTTGCTGTTTAGAGAACTGATGTTCCTTTGAAGATTAGCTCGCTCCTGCCAACTCCATACATACATTCATACATACATACATAATATGGAAAGGGAAAAAAAGGCCTCAACCTTAAAGCTCTTTTTTGCAAGAAAACTGACTATATTGTGGAAGTGCTCTGGGAGGTTGCAAGCAGTGCAAAATAGAGGAATTGCCTATTCTGTAGCTATGGAGTTCATCATTTTAGAAATAAGGATGAGGCCCCTTCAGTGGACTATAGTGTGTAAGCTACGCAAGGTCATTGCTGACCTTCATGAATAAGCTATGCATAGAAATATGGCATCAGTGACTGTTTATAAGGAATGAAGTGGAAGGAAACTGAAATGCAGGTGACTGTTGGCCTGCTCTGTTTTAAAAGGTCAGACCAATATCTTTGGCTGGTTCATGTGATCCATCGGTTGTCTGTGCCATTCATTAATGGCTGATAAAGCAATGCTGTGATATTTCAAAAGGCTCCATTTCAGTTATTGTATTTCTTGGATCAGCAAATTCAGCTTTTTTGAATCTTCCTCTCGGTTAATTCCCTTGACAATATGTGCTGTATATTTATTTTTTAGAGAACTGGACTGATGGCTTATTTAATCTTAGCCTATTATCTTATCAACAGCAGTATGCTGGTTGGGTGGTTTTGGAAAGAGGTCAGGGAAACCCAGAAGTGGATTGTTAAAGGCAGCAAGCTTAAAACTGCAAAGATGAGAAAAGTTGCAGTTTGATATTAAATGGCCATTGTACTGGAACATTTGTTAACATAATGAATTAAGTGACAAGAATAAAATGCCATAACCCCCCAAATGTATTGAAGAACATATTTTGTCAGTACCATCATAATTAAGAAGCAATAAGTGATGTACGCCATTTTTATAACAATTTGAAATTAGGGAATTGGAATAAATTCCAAAATGTAGTATACATATTCAGTGCTCTAGTTTGCATGAACAAAGCACCTCTCTCTGCCTTGTTTATTTAAAGCCACAGTGGCTTGCAGTGCCTACCCACATATTGAGGAGGATTTGCATATTCAGTGAGAGTATGCTACTCAAAAATAGCAGCGGGAGTTGTGCAAGGGCTAAACAACCTTTGCACAACCCATTATCTGTAGTTCACACAGTCATCTGTAGTTGTAGTGCCTGCCCCTGTGTTGGGTAGGGAGAGCCTATTCAGTGCCCAGCTGTAGTTTGTCATGTATGAACCATGCATCCTGGATTGTGCAAGGATTAAACAACCTTTGCAGAACCCATGGACTGTATTTCACCTGTGCTTTGGATTCCCATGACATAACAAGCTGTAGCCAGGTGTCAAATATTCAGAATGCTTCACATTAGTCACACTGGGCTGTTTGATTGCATGCCTCTCATTTTTAATTGCTGTGAGCAAGACAGTAAGGATTGTGGATATGAGGAAGATGCAGTAACTATTCCAGCCCTAATGTCTGACTCCTGGTGTGTCCATCCTGATCCTCTCCGGTGTCTGAAATTTGGCAAAACCATCATTGTGGATTTTTGTTTTACTCCACCATCAAAGACCAGAAATGTGTTTGTTTTTTAAAACAAACAATAGCACGATCTTGGTTTTGTGCAATGCATTGGATTTTGCACTAGAGGCTACAATCTGTGCCCTCAGATTTCTGCACTGCCTGATTGTACTTGGCGTGTCCCATCTGACGGCACTGCTTCTGATGGGATAACGTGTGATGGGAGAAATGCTATTACGGCTAGTTTAATCATAGTTAACTATCTGACCTTAAAAACAAAGCAAAACAAAATGCAAAGCAAAACCTTTCCTCTGGGCATCTATGTATACTGTGTACATGCCTCCACTTGCAGTAGTAAAGTCTCTATTATGCTTATTCTGTGCAGGTGTTGGGTAACATCTGTGTTGATTTATCTTCACAGCAAGAGAAATATTTTTAGGTTATTGCAGAAGGGGGAAGAATAGAGAATAGAATGGCAGAGAAAGGAATTGAATATGGGGAGGTAGCACTGCTTTACATCCTCTGTCTGTTTGCATTTTTTTCTCCTTCCTTGTGCCCCACCAGAGAACACTGTAATGGGTTTAGGCTGAGAATCTGACACACTGTCCACATTCCTGGCTAATGTTTAAGATAACGTGGCAGAGCAATAAATAAAAGCTGCTTCAATACTTCTCTTGTAGGTGAGGCTGATGAAGATTCAAATGTTCTGATCCTCAGCTATCCACAGTACTGCCGCTATCGTTCCATGCTGAAACGCATTCAGGGCAAGCCATCCTCTGTCCAAGCAGACCAGTTTGTGCTAGCCCTTGGGGGCATTGCCGTAATCAGCAAAAACCCACAAATCCTCTACTGTCGAGATACATTTGATCACCCAACTCTTATTGAAAATGAGAGCATCTGTGATGAGTTTGGTAAGTCATTTTTTCTCTTACTTTTTGCAAGTTCAAACCACTTTGTTTGTTGAAAAAGCTTCCATTCCTGCATCTGGGAGGCTGTATTAAAAGATGAACCTTTCAAAAGTTGCAAATATGTGTATATTTCAATTTCTGGATGCCAGCAGTATTCCATCTTCACTTGGAGACGAAGGATGCATCCATAACTATTTGTAGCCTTCATATTTTAAAAATAGCTATTTATCACAAGCAAAACACATCTTCAGAGAGCAATATGCCTTGCTCTGGTATCTAGTGTAAATTGAAGGAATTTTTTTTTTAAAGATGCATAATGAGTTATTTTGACAGTATCGATTCCAGTTGTCCTTAAATATGTATGTGAGCGAGGGTGCTTGTTCTCTGTGGCCCACCAAATTGTCTTATTCTGTGGACCCTAAAATATGGACCTACATCTCAGTTGCTCCATCTGACTTACATGACTGCAGTCCGACAAAGCTCTATGCACCCAGCTATTCATGCATCCGTGGGCTGCCTCAACATTTCCACCGCAGCTGCTTTTGCTGCTTGAAGTGGTTACCTATGAAATTTAAAACGATGGAGTAGCCTTTTCAGCACGTTGTAGGGACTTTTAAATAGCTGACTCGTCAACAGTTTCCTCTTTTGCTTTTATTGTATCAAGGACCTGCACGTAAGAATCATCCAACTTTATCTTCAGCCTTTGGTAAAGAAAGTCGTTCTGCTTCTAAGTTGCAGTTTAAGATGTTCTTTTTTGTAGAAGGGGAGCTGCTGTTTTACATGACTTGTTCCATGGGCTGCTCCCATGTTACATTGCTTACTTAAGTTGACCCACATAAGTGAGTGGGGCTGTTAGCTCAGACCAGATCTGGAACATCATCAAAATTTAAAGCTTACTCTCAACAGTTTAGTCTCAACAGGACACGGTCGTGGTTAAAGAGTGTGTGTGAGAACTGCAGCCTATTACCTTGATGGCATTTTTAGGGCTGCAGATTGCAGCCCTAAAAATTTTAGGATTGCAGAGCTCCATTCTACTGAGGACTTGTGGCATGCTCTTTTAAAACTGAAACATTTCACCAATATCCTTAGTGCGTAGACTGTATATGTGGCAGGCTGTAGGTTGAGGGAAAGGAAAGGAAGCTTCCAGGCGCACAAAGGATCCGTAACTATTGAGCCCAGCATATTCTCAATACAGATAAAATATAATTAAAAATAAAATTCAAGTATATTACTTTCAGAACAGGCCATAAAACTACAGAACTAGAACTACATTTTATTTAGCTTTCTGTTATTTAAAATGATAATTGCAAGCATTATAATGAAAACCCTAAACCACCTACAGAATTGTTACATACAGCATTAATGTAAATGTATAAAGAAAGCTGCCATATGTAATTATATGACTGAAACTAAGGTGAGCCACAGGTTGTGCCATAATTTACTACATACAGAACTGGACCCTTTGCATAGAAATGTCCACTCATTTAGTGGCAAACAGATCGTGTGGACTTTGTGTGTAGGTTCCTATTCAGTTATGAAGTAACTTAGTGGAAAAAAGCCTAAGCTATCTAGGTCAGCCCCATGCTGGATATAGGAAATGTCGAAGGCAGTCCAGTCCCTGCTTGAAACAATCCAGCAAGGGATCAACCTCCTTTGCTTGCCACCATTCAGACATTTCTCCTAATATTTTCTTGAAGTTTTCTCTACTGTATCAAAGGAGTGACCTTTCCAGATGCTCATTAAATATAATCATCACAGTATCGAGCAGCAAGCCTTAATGATGGAAACTCTGGCATGGAATATAAAATTTGGCTGTTGCTTGATTTTGATGAGAAGTCCCATTGATTTCAGTGGAACGTACTCCTAAGTAAGCTTGCTTTAAGCTTGACATGCAGCTAACCAAATTTTTGCTTGCTGTTACCATACCAAGTTGTTCATATGTCTGATCGCTGCAGGTATTCAGATATTAGTCTTGCAGTGTATGGCAGATAACCAAGAAATTTTGGTAACAATGAATGATAAGCAGACACAGCTATGTACGCAACCAGCTGAGATTAATTACCATGTTGCCAAACTGTTGGCACTTTAAAAAGTATCACAGTTGGAGCTTCTATGAACATCACAATTCGTTATGGCATTATAAAACATTGTTATGTTAACCGTATAGTGATTTTCACCAGCTATTATTACATTATAATAGCAATATAATCAGATGGTGTTTTAGCACCCCGGATTTGCTTTCTGATCCTTGATGCACCGGCAGTGAATGAAAATAATCTCACCATTGCTATTCCTTTGTCATCAGAGACATTTCTGTGAGTCTTCAGCTTGCTTTCCGCAAGCATCCATGCATGTTCCTTGGCGCTACAGAAATTCCTTTGGTGTGCTCTGCACAGGAGTACCACCCTCAGTCATGAAATAAACCTCTGAGTAAATTATTATGAAGCCTCCACTAGCTGGCTTCTGGGATTACAACCTGGTCTGTCACAATTGTGTTCACATCATTATGAGAGGTTTCAGCTGCTGTAACTGCAGGTGTTATGATTTGACCCACACTTGTAGGGGCTCCCTACAAGTGTGGGACAGATAGATGGGCCGTAATTGGGCCAACAAACAGGTAGCTCTTGCATAGTATGTGCTGCTGGTGCCAAACAAAACCCCTGGGCGAGGGGATAGAAATGTGCGTGCAGTTTTGGTTTGCGCAATTGTATAAACGCCTTTGAGGACTGTGTGGGAATGATGCTTGTATTTTTGCAAGAAAATGGTTACACTTCCAGATACACATCCCTGACCCAACAGTATGTGTAGTCACAATTGGATTTAATTTCACATTCCTCTTTAATATTTGTTACAAATCATATGAGCTACTCTCTGTGAAGGACTCATTGAGATTAATGAGGGATGTTTGACAGATTGCTCTCATAATGGACTGAGGACTGCAGGGTCTGTTGAGTAAGTCCGTAGTATACAGTGAATTGAGCCCTTCAGTTTCTTTCACCTTCCATACTATCAAATGCAGTGTGTCATTTTCATTACCTTGATGGCATACTGCTGATAAAGTATGGTTTTATCCTTTCCCCCCACTGACAGGACAATAGAATGTAGTATACTGGGTTACACAAACAGTTTATACTGATACCATGTAGATTGATGTCACATGTATAAAGAGATGACAGCTAAATCTAAACACAAGCATGGTGGTATAGTAGATAAATGGATTACCTTAAGGTACTGTGATCTGAGACATGGGCTAGATTTCAGGAATGTGAGTAAAATTCTTCCAAGATGTAAAAATAGACCATATGCCTTGAACTGGCAGAATTCTTAGAGTTTCCTTTTTTCCTTTTTCTTTTTTTTCCATCCTTTTTTTCAGCTGCCAAAGGTGCAATCCTATGCATGTTTAGGAAGGAAAACAGTGTACAGTTTTCAGCATACTGCAGTTTTTTCTGTCTAAACATGCATAGAAAAGAGGCTGAAGGAAAGGATGCCCAGAAAGCTAAAAGCTTTCTCTTAAAAGCTGAAAGAGGAGGCTAAGCCTCAGGAACCAGAAATGAGATAATTAAGAATAATCAACAATAATAATATATTTTGGATATATAGAAGACATGATAAACAGCATAGAAGTCTGTGATGCAAAGCAACCTGGCAATACACTTACTGTAGTCCAAGGACTTGGGTTGGAATTATGCATTATCAGAGAATGAATGCATCTATGTACAATATTTATAATACCATCTTGGAGTCACCCTGCAGCTAAGTGTCAGATAGAGTTTGTTGCAAAGAAACCTTCTCCACAGCATATGAACTACTATACTTTCTAGAAAGCTTTACTGGAAAGAAACGCTTTGCACAATTGCCCTTTCAAATGAATTTTAAACAAAAACATGTTGTACTTCAGTGACTTTTCCCCTCACATTTCTGAACTCAGAAAAATAAAGAGCAGGACCTTAAGCAAAAGGGGACTGTAGAAGTAGAGATAGGGATGTGAGCAGACATATTAGTTTTGTCAGTTCTCAGTAACACAGTTTGTTGTTGTTGTTAGTGGCGAAGTCATGTCCGACCCGTTGCGACCTCATGGACAACATTCCTCCAGGACTTCCTGTCCTCCACCATCCCCTGGAGTCCATTTAAGCTCAAGCCGACTGCTTCAGTGACTCCATCCAGCCACCTCATTCTCTGCCGTCCCCTTCTTCTTTTGCCATCTATTGTTCCCAGCATTAGGCTCTTCTCAAGGGAGTCCTTCCTTCTCATTAGGTGGCCAAAGTATTTGAGTTACATCTTCAGGATCTGGCCTTCTAAAGAGCAGTCAGGGTTGATCTCCTCTAAGACTGACCGGTTTGATCGCCTTGCTGTCCAAGGGACTTGCAGGAGTCTCCTCCAGCACCACAATTCAAAGGCCTCAATCCTTCGATGCTCACCCTTCCTTATGGTCCAACTTTCACAGCCATACATTGCAGCTGGGAAAACCATAGCCTTGACTATACGCACTTTTGTTGTCAAGGTGATGTCTCTGCTTTTTAGTATGCTGTCTAGATTTGCCATAGCTTTCCTCCCCAGGAGGTGTCTTTTAATTGCTTGGCTGCAGTCCCCATCTGCAGTGATCTTGGAGCCCAGGAAAATAAAATCTGTCACTACCTCCATTTCTTCCCCTTCTATTTGCCAGGAAGTGAGAGGACCGGATGCCATGATCTTAGTTTTCTTAATGTTGAGTTTCAAGCCAACTTTTGCGCTCTCCTCCTTCACCTGCATCAAGATGCTCTTTAGTTCCTCTTCACTTTCTGTCATGAGAGTGGTATCATCTGCATATCTGAGGTTGTTGATATTTCTCCCAGCAATCTTAATTCCAGCTGGTGATTCATCTAGCTCCACCTTTCTCATGATGTGCTCTGCATATAAGTTAAATGGGTAGGGCGACAGTATACAGCCTTGCCGAATTACTTTCTCAATTTTGAACCAGTCAATGGTTCTGTGTCCAGTTCTCACTGTTGCTTCTTGACCCACAT